AATTTTTAAACATATTTATTAAAAAATAATATTTATATATTAATTTTTAAATTAATTTAATATCTACAACAGTTTAATTAAAATTTTATATAATGAAAAACTAATCAATTTGAAAGTTGGTATATATAATTTATGAATAAAACATTTAATCAAATGGTGAATTTTTAAACATATTTATTAAAAAATAATATTTTTAAATTAAAATTTTAATTTTTTTTATGGAAGTAAAATTTGATAACTACTATTCTCGGGAAATAAATTATTTTGATCTAGGAAAGTCTGCATATAATTGGTCAATTCATTTGTATATTCCACTATTTTTATCAAAATAAATTGTTATTTTAATTTGTATATATAATTGATTACATTTTAATTTGTATAACCGATTATGTCATGAAAAAGAAGAAAATTTGATTATATTTAAAATGCTTACAAAAGAAATAATATGACTAGTGTTTTTATCCAATTGATTGATTGTTTCACTTAAGAAAATGATTAGTAAATATTAAGTTAATATATTTTTTGAAATTTGATTAATTTAATTACTAAAAATATGATATAAGTACAGCTAATTTAATTAGTTCTTATATCTTATGTATATAGTTGTATTTTTAAATTTATTTAACTTTAATTTTAGATTAAAAAAATAATTTTTAATAAATATGTTGTATAGTATGTTAAATTAGATTATATATCAATCACTATCATTTTACTTATAATTAATTTTATTTGAGTATAAATTCATTTACATATAAATTTACATGTTACAATTATATAAAATTTTAATAATTTATTTTTTCAATTCGAACAGTTAAGATTATTTATTTTTTATCATATTTATTAAAAATAATTATTTTTTCACTTAAAAAATCATGATAAATTTTAATTATTAAAAATAAAGATATAAATAATTAAAATTTTATATAAATATAATATGTAAAATTTATATATAAATAAATTTTTAGTCATTTTATTTTATTTTGTATAACTAATCGCATAATGAAAAAGAAAGGATAACTGATTATATCTACAAGGTTTACGAAAATATATAATTAATTACCTTAAACAACAAAATCCACTATAGTTATTAGGAAGTTTTTTTTTTTTTTTTTTAAAAATTAATATATCTACAAGGTTTACGAAAATATATAATTAATTACCTTAAACAACAAAATCCACTATAGTTATTAGTAAGTTTTTTTTTTTTTTTTTCTCTCAAGATCAAGCAAACACACCTAACAGCACAATCCTAATAATAGCACTGTTAACGAGTCTGATTACTTAGATTCTCGTATTTGAGTTTATTTTAAAATTTTAAATTTGAGTATTTGTTGATTTTAAAATAATTAAATTTGTATTTAAATTCGTGAGTTTAAGCTTATTTGTAAGTACAAGTCAATGATTACTTTAACTCAATATCGAGTTTTTTTTATGTAATTTAAAAATAATTTATCATAAATTTTTTATATTTTTAAAAATATTATATTACTAAAAGTTTAAATATATTAAATTTAATAATAAAAAATAAATTTCATTTAAATAATTTTTATTGATAATTATAACTCAAAATATGTAATTTATTTAAATTATTATATATTTAAATTTAATAAATAAATATATAACATAATTTTTAAATTTTAAGTGAGTATTTGTGAATAATTCACCAATAATTATAAAAGTTTAGATTTAAACTCTCTTTTTTTTAAAATTTTTTAATGATTTATAACTAAGAAAATGCATTTTATTATGAGATATAAAACCGTTGGATCACAAAACATAAATTAAACTCAAATTTTAATCAAATAACTCATAAATTACTCTTAAATTATTTTATCTAATAATAAAATAAGTGAAAAGTCGATCATGCATTAAGATTTGAGCAGGTTCTAAAATTGCTCAATCTTTAATAAAAAAAAAGACGTTAAATAATTTTTAATAAATGTTAGAAGTGCCCTGCCTAAAATTAAAGAAACCCTCTCAACATTCCTCAGATTTCAGAATGCATGGAAGAAAATAACAAAAAAATATGCATCTTAGGTATAACTGTCTTATCATAAGTCAAATAAGTGTTTGTCTCTTCAATTGAAAAGTTAGTTTTATGAATAGATAAATTAAAAAGTAAGCATTAAATGTAGGCCTCTTGAGAATGGTACATGCACAGTTATATTCATGCCCATCTCACAGGCTTTTTGGTTTGAACATTCATTAATATTCAATGTTCATACCTCATTGGTTCACCCTCTATTCAGATCCGTACAGTTATATTTTATTGACTTTTCCAACCTATCCCTTCAAAATTAATGGGATAGTTATTACATTTTTTAAATAATAATTGATATTAAAAAATAAAAAAATTAATATTAATTTTTTATTATTTTCATATATTTAATTTT